AAGAGAATCTCTGGTAATTTATCAGTATTCACTGTGGAATTGGTAGCTGTTTGGTTGGCATTGAATTGGGTTGAAGAAGTAAAACCAGAAAAGGCGGTCATATGTTCAGACTCAAGTGCAGTTCTGAATAGTTTGCATTCTTTTAAATCACAAGCAAGACAGGACATAATATATGAAACACTAGAACTTCATACACGGATTTGTCAGATGGGGATAACGATAAAGTTTACATGGGTACTGTACAGATATGCGACTGACACATTAGCTGGTAAGTATTCAACTGCCTTTATTACGCATTTCGTGACGTTACAGTTTCCTGCTACGGTGGCCTCTTAGGATCCTAAAGTGTCTCACAAGATATCATTACATCTCCCTTTTTTCAGTAAACAAAAACAGATTCACTGTGCATTCTTTAAGCAGAAACATAACCTAAGCATGGAACATGACTCAACTATAAGGCAATACATTACCTGATGAACTCATGACCATATAACTAAGGCTCAACACAAACTCATGACCAGATAACTGAGGCTCAACACATTTAACCGTTTTTTTTTTTTTTTACAATAAACTTGTTATACCTCAACTGTGTAATAATGAGTTTAAAGCCGTCTGCTATAAATCAAGTCTGTCAGGGGCTTTTCTAATGCGCTCTGACCGTCTCGCTGGAGCTGCCTCTGGCTCCGTCATGACAGGTGCATTGTCATCTAAAACCCCTGGCTGATTGTTTGTTGCTGTTTCATGCTGTGCACATTTGTCCCTTTACTCCTCTACTGAAGGAACTGCATTGCTGGCCTGTGTTTTAAGTAGCTGCACCCTGTTTCGTCTGACCAGAGCCCCGGTGTCCGTCTAGACTGCATATGACCTCGGAGCCACTTCATTCAGCACTGTTCCAGCGCGTTGCCAGTCCTGTCTTTCTGTGTTGAAAACTCTGACTCTGTCACCCGCCTGCAGAGGTTGCATTGCTTTTGCTGTGCGATCAAAGTATCTCTTTTGTTTTTCCTTTAATTTTTTCATGGCCTCCAGCACAGGTGTGTGGACTTGTTTCTTCACTGTTGGGATCTGTGTCTGTAGTCGTCTGCCCATGAGCAGTTCAGCCGGAGACTTCCCACTCTCCAGAGGTGCTGCTCTATAAGCCAGCAGAGCCAAATAAGGATCCTCACCATTCTCTGTCGCCTTTGTCAGAAGACTTTTCACTATTTGAACACCCTTTTCAGCCTTGCCATTTGCCTGTGGAAAGTGTGGGCTTACTGTGATGTGTTCAAATCCATACTCTCTGGCAAACTGCTTGAACTCCTGACTGGCATACTGAGGCCCATTGTCCGAGACGACAGTTCCTGGAATGCCATGTCGTGCGAAGCTACACTTCATATGCTTAACTATTCCTGTTGCTGTTGTGCTCGTGAGCAACGCCATCTCAGGATAGTTGGAGTAGTAGTCGATCATCAGTAAATACTCTCTGCCTCTGAAGTGGAACAGGTCCGTCTTAATTTTTTCCCAGGGGTGCTCCGCCCTCATGTCTGTGAGCAGCGGTTCTCTTTGCTGTCTGTTATGGTAAGTAAGGCAAGTGGCACAGTCATTGATCATCTCTGCTATGTCACGATTCATGCCTGGCCAGTAAACAGTCTGCCTGGCTAGTCTCCTTGTTTTTTCTATGCCCAAGTGCCCTCTATGCAGTATTCGGAGGACCTCCTTCCGAAGCTTAGTTGGGATGACTATTTGATCGCCTTTCAGCAACAGGCCATCAGCTACTGCCAACACATCCTGGAATGAGTAGTACTGCGGGCACGCTTGCTTTGGCCACTCATTTCGCATGTGCCATATCACTTTCTGGAGCTGGCGGTCCACTACCGTCTCCATTACTATTTTCTCTTTCAGTGTAGAGCTCACAGGTAGAGCCTCCACCACAGCATCCACGTGGCCTCTTATGTCTTCATCTTCCTCTGTGCCGTCTTTGTTCAGTCCTTGTGCTCGTCTGGCCCTTGACAGAGCATCAGCCACTACCAGGTATTTCCCCGGCTTGTATGACAGTTCATAGGTATACTTCTGTAGACGCATCATCATACGCTGAATGCGTGGTGTCATCTCATTCAAGTGCTTTTTGCTGATAGTTATGAGTGGCTTGTGATCAGTCTCAAGTTCAATGTGTGGCAAGCCAAAGACATAAGAGTGGAACTTGTCACAGCCAAAGACAAGCCCCAGACACTCTTTTTCTATCTGCGCGTATCTTTGTTCTGTTTCTGTCATGGATCGTGCAGCATAAGCCACTGGTTTCCAAGCCCCATCATGACACTGCAGCAAGACGGCCCCCAGTCCCTCTTTTGAGGCGTCTGTGGAGATTCGTGTCTTCTTACTCGGATCAAAAAAAAACAACACTGGCTCTGTGCTTAAAATGTCCTTGATTTCTTTCCACTCTTTGTCATGTGTCTGGTGCCAGGACCACTCTGTGTTTGACTGCAGGAGCTGGCATAGAGCAACAGTCTTTGCGGCAAGATTAGGCACAAACCTTCCCATGTAGTTCACCATCCCTAATGCTCTTTGTACCGCCTTCTTTGTCTGTTGGCTCGGGCATGTCAGTCACTGCTTTGATTTTGTTCATGTCCGGCTGTACTCCTGCCGGTGTCAGTCGATCCCCAAGAAACGTGACTTCTTGGGTGCTGAACTGGCATTTCTCCTTGTTCAATCTGAGCCCGTACTTGTGGACAGTAGAACAGGAATTCGACGTGGAGCATGCACCACAGGTCTAGCATTATCCTTCAGTTTAATGCTGTATGTGAACGGCAGCACCCCTATGCCATCAAAAATATTGGGATACTGCACTTCCCAGTTGTCTGCTTGTGATGTGGTGACTTCTGCATTTTTCAGCTCTGTCTTGGCAATGTTTAGAACACGTTTAACAAGTCACATTTCCTCACAAGCTTGATCTCCCAGTAGGGAGTCCTTCCCTTTCGGCACTATCACAAATAGTAGATGTCTCTTAATATGCTTGTTCTGGACTTGTAATCTGCAGACGCCCTATGTTTCAATCATTTGTCCATTGTAAGCTCTCAATCCCACTTTTTTGTTTTCTATAACTGGCTTGTGGCGCAGGGCTTTGAAGTCTTTTAATGTGATAAGATTTGCCATGGCTCCTGTGTCAAGTTTCATGTGAATCTCTGTGCCATTTACTTTAAGTGGCACAATCCACCTGTCTACATTTATTGTGTTCACACTAACTTGCAGCTTTGAAGTGCCCTTATTTTCCACAGTGACAGTGTCTGTATAGAATATGTCATCATCATCATAGCCTTGTTCGCTGTCTTCCATCAATTTGTTGCTTTTCTCTGGCAGAAAGGCACACTTTTGCAAAATGATTTTTTTTCCTGCACTTCGAGCAAACCTTCCCATATGCGGGGCATTGCCTGAAGCGATGTTTCCCACCGCAGCTTCTACAGTTCATGACGTAGTCTGATCCTGTTTCACGTGCGTTAGAACGTTCCCCCTCTGAGCGAGGTGCGCTAGCTCTGACCACCCTGTCAACGCCCCCTGACGTTTCAGTAGTAACGGATGGCTTCTCAAAAATCTTTATCTGTTTCTCAGTCTGTTCGCTAGCTCTGCACATTCTGATTGCATCTTCTAATTTCAGACTGTCCTCCCTTAGCAGGCGTTCCCGCACCTTTTTATTGTGTATTCCAAATACTATCTGATCACGTAGTACGGAGGACTGCATGTCGCCATAGTTACAGGATTGCACTTTCAGCCTCAGATCAGTCATATATGAGTCAAACGATTCATCTTGCTGCTGAACACAGCAAAGAAAAACATGTCTCTCGTATACTTCATTCTTTTTCGGACTACAGTATGCATCGAACTGCTCCAGAACTTTGTTCAGTTTGTTTTTATCTCCCACCTCCGTGAACTCAAACGTATTGTATATTTCTATTGCTTGTGTTCCTGCTATCGTCAGTAACAATGCCACTTTCCTCTCACCGCTCTTGTCGTTGGCGCCAGTTGCAGTCAAATAAAGTTGAAACGCCTGTTTAAACTGTTTCCAGGCATAATCAATATTTCCTTTGAGCTTCAATGGTTCTGGTGGTTTTATGACGTCCATCCCGTCTTTCTCACACTGACATTAACTATTTAATACTTTTACTTCTGGTACCATGTATGCGACTGACACATTAGCTGGCCTGGTAAGTATTCAACTGCCTTTATTACGCATTTCGTGACGTTACAGTTTCCTGCTACGGTGGCCTCTTAGGATCCTAAAGTGTCTCACAAGATATCATTACAGGTACCAGCACATGTAGGAGTGAAGGGTAATGAAGTGGTAGATAGATTGGCAAAGCAAGTGAATAAACAAGAAGAGGTTGAAATAGTAATTACAATAAGTAAAGCAGAAGCTGAAGCACAAATCAGGTCAAAAATCAATAAAAAGTGACAGGCACACTGGGATGCGGAGGAGAAAGGAAGACATTTATATAACATTCAACAAAAGGTTGGGACAGAGAGGGTCACTGGAAGGAAGCCAAGGGAAGAAATTATCTTCACAAGATTAAGAATAGGACATTGTGGGTTAAATAAGTATTTACATATTGTAGGTAAGCACGTATCGGGTAGGTGTGAATTTTGTGAAAATATTGAAACTGTGGAACATGTGATTTTTGAATGTCAAAAATATGAGAGGGAAAGAGGAAAGATGAAAGAGGGTATAAGAAGGTTAGGGGGGCAAGGGAATTCACTAAGGGAATTGCTGGGGAAATCAGTAAATGGTATGAGTGCATTGGTATTACAATTCTTAAAAGAAACAAGACTGGCAGAAAGGATTTTAGATGAATAATTTTTTTTTTTTTTTTTTTTTTTTGAGAAGGAAAAGAGGAAAAATAATAAAAAGTTAATTTTAGTTAGATGGGTTATTTGGGTATTTATTTGATCTCCGGTCCACACTCCAGTATAGTAGGTGGCGGTAATGCACCTTAAATGTTGGATGCCAACCGCCGTAAAACGACAAATAAGAAGAAGAAGGCACTCTATGTAAGCGGAAGAGGTACTGCCCAGAACAACCGAAGAGCAGGCGGAGCACGGGAACCGAATTGTGTCTTTTTAGCGATTAAAATAAGAGTAAACGCCGTTCAGAACGTGAGTGTACTTTCGTTATATACCTCCCCGTGTGTCTTACATGACGTGTTTTCATTCCCCTGATTTCGTAACTGGCATATATTGCCCTTTTTTTGCTAGCAGCGAAGGGATTTAGCAGGTTGCTAGCAGTGTTTCAGGCCTCACTATCTGCCAGACGCTGTGAATCATTAAGTTACAATGAAATATACGAGCGTTCTGCTTGCTTTTTTCGTTTGATAATAGTATAACGTTAATGTTAGCAGTATTGTTTTGAAGATTGAGAATCATTACACATTCTAAAAAAAATCGTTATTTTTAAAGAGGATGTGTGATTAGCCTAATAGTTCACGTCAGCAGAGTATGACAGAGTTCAATTGAATCGAGTGGCTGAACTTCACCACCAAGAAAATGACAATATGAAAGCTGCGGCACAGTCCTATGAAAATACGCATTGATCTACTTTTGTCTCTGTTGTTATGTAATTTTGCCCTTAAGCAGACTTTTTATATGTAAATACGACAAGTGAGTAACTTCATTTGTCGTACAGATGAACTTTGCAGACATTTTACTTTCATAAACCGTTATATTACACTGCATGAAAAAATAATATTCGAAAAAGCATAATAGGGGCACTTTAAACATGTGCCTTATTGTTTTCTGCTGCAATTGCATTACATTTTTGTCAGTTTATAATCACTTTCTTGTCTGTGAGATCACAAACCTGTGTAGGGTGTTGACACAAATTTCACGATTCGTGTCCGATTCACAAGCTCATTCATTTTTGTTATCAGTTTGTTGGCGATCATCCCTACACTCGTGCTGGTAGCAGTCTTTAGGTTTTGCACGCTTTATGTGCTGCACGCTTTGCTTGCAATAACAAATTAAACTAGGGATGTAGCAATATGACAATTTTGGCAGAGCCAGATACTGATAATTCTTTATTATTAAAAAAATAATATATTGGCTGAAAAATATTTTTTTAGAACCTGATTACAAAAATAAGGCTCACAATTTAAAGCCATGCCCCAAGCACTTCAACATAAATAGTACAGGAGCCTATAGTGAACCCGTGTAAGATTCCTTATCTTTTAAAATGATTTTTTACACTCCTATGGTCAACTTTCATTATAAAAAACTAAACAAAAGAGTTAGGACATTTTTAGGAATTTTAAGGGCTTTTAGGAAATTTAATTCTGTTTTCTTTTCATCATGAAATTTCATTTCATTCTCCAGGAAAGTTAGTAAAAACATTGTTAAAATAGTCTAAGTGACTACAAACTACAACCAAGTGGCTCAACCTTAAAGGATTAGTTTACTTTTGAAATTTTTTTTGCTGATAATTTACTCACCCCCATGTCATCCAAGATGTCCATGTCTTTCTTTCCTCAGTCGAAAAAGAAATAAAGGTTTTTGATAAACATTCCAGGATTTTTCTCCATATAATGGACTTACATGGGAACCAGGTGGTCCAAGGTCCAAAAGACATTTAATATCCGTTTCAGATGCAGCTTCAAATGTCTTTAAACGACACCAGACGATGAATAAGTGTCTTATCATGCGAAACGATAGGTTATTTCAAAACTTATTCCAAAAATGTAACTTTTCTAAGGACAAATGCTAGCCTTGCTCTATTCTGTGAGGCGCGTTTGTAACCTCACATAATACTTAATTACGCTCAAAAGGTCACGGGCGACGTAGCGTAAGCCATTCATTTTGCAACATTGCAAGGCACTTTTACATTTTTTCGTTTGTTTCTCACGCTCGAACCTCCCGGATATGTACACTTTAGAACCATTTTAAACTCTACATCAAGATCCATCTGCGTCATCATCTCAGTTCTCGCGTATGCGTCGTGGCACTCTCGTGAACTCACGTGAGAGGTCCACACAGAAGAAAATGAAGTTGAATAAAATTGTTATTTTTGTTTTGATTTTTGGGCACAAAAAGTATTCTCGAAGCTTAATAAACTTAAGGTTGAGCCACTGTAGTCACTTGAAGTATTTTAACGTTTTTACTAACTTTTCTGGACTGACGGGATAAAATTGCCTAGAAGACTATGAAGGAGTGAGACAGCTCTCAGATTTCATCAAAAATATCTTAATTTGTGTTCCGATAAACGAAAGTCTTATGGGGTTTGAGCAACATGAGGGTGAGTAATAGCTGGGTTTCAGTCACGTGATTATGATGAGGCGCGAAATTCAGATGGAGGGCAGGGAGTGAATAGCGCAATGGACGAGATGGAGGAAAGTCAGTACTGTACTACTTTACACACTATTACAAGAGAAAGATATAAACAAAAAATCAATTTCCTGCCATCGAGGCAGCAGATATCAGCAACTACCTCGTCTTACAGACATACTTTGACTTTACAAAGTTCGGAAACTGGTATGTTACACAAACATAGCCACTTAAGTTGTATTAACCTTTGTCACCTTGACCACTACACACACGGTCATTTTCCCATTCGGCTCCCCCCTGACCGCAGACGTAGGTTTGCAAGCTGTTTTTCAGACAATTTCTTGCATTTTTTCCCCCCTTATGAACAACTTTTGGTACACGATTAAAAACTCCTCGTAGTTCCTCATCGATTTAAGTAACCATAAACAATTTAAAACATAGGCATTTTGAGTTTGTTATAGTGCTTTCTAAATACAGCAAATCACTTCCTGCCCTCCATTTGCATTTCGCGCCATGGCAACGTAGTGGTGTGACGTCATATGAAACCCAGCTATTACTGACAGAATTTTCATTTTTGGGTGAGCTAACCCTTTAATCGGCTATTTATACAACATAATATTTCATATTATATTATTGTATCTGCACAAAATGACAAGCTGTTGCAAACTCCAAACAAACTTCTAGTCCATTCATTTTATGAAAAAAGGTTTTGCAACAAATTGCAACAGAAGCAAACTCAACCAATTTTGTATCCTCATATGTCCTGAGTAAGGAAAAAAAGCCCAGAAGAATCCCATTAGGGGAACGTTTTGAAAAAGACCCAAATATATCCCATTCATTCGCCTATTCATTATTTTTCTCACGTGAAAAGGGTAAAAATTAACCTTTAGATATCATCATGAAAGTCACATCAAGACAAACAAAAAATGTATTACAAGTTTTTTTAGAAATAAAAGCAAGACCTAAACATAAAGCAAATTTGCCTGTGAACGCTTTATATAATATAGGTAGGTCTAAATCCGGGTGATCACTTATATCAGTGTTATAACCTATATATATCATCATATCGTCCGGCCCTAAAACTTTATACGTTTTTTTGGTCTGTGTTTATTAAAAAAAAACATCCAATAATGCAGAATATGCAATGATAAATATTTAATTGATGAGCTGTTGATGTATATAACAATACAAAATATATGGGTATGGTTTTATAGCTAAATTCAGCATATTGACACAAAATGATAACTGCAAATCCACCTTTCGCTGACTGGAGTCTAGTTGTTTCTGTGAATTGCTACGATCCATTTGCTCCTCTTTCCATAGCAGTCTGTAAAAATATACCTCGGATGTTTTGTCTAATCTAGTTGTAGGCCTACAGTCAATCGCAAAGCTCTTTCCCACTTTATTTGTGTGTGTTGTGTGTGTTTTTCGCAGCATTCACGCTGAACACATATACAGCCGCTCAGTCTTTTTGCCACTCACTGTGAGGAACTGCAGGCATGCCGGCCGACGGTGACGTCACGCGCATTCCCTCTATAGTTTACCGTCATATGTCAACAAAATTCTATAAGACATTTTCACCTGCTATATACCAAGTGTTTAGATTTGTTTGGGTATTAATGCAAATTAGCTAATACGTAATAAGATTATGCACCATTTGTCCATGTTAACAAACAATTGCAAAAAACTTGTAATGCATTTTTGTTTGTCTTGATGTAAGTAATTAATTTGTTCAAAGTTGACCCCCATTTTGGCTTAAAATGACTGGACTATTCCTTTTGGCTTGATTTTATTAAATTATGTCAAGCCAAAAATAGATTTTCGCTTGAAATTTATTGGGGCTTTGATTGTGTTACATGTTTCTGTCTTGTGCTTTCAAAACCTTAAATGCCATTTAATTTAGTGGTTTATGTGAAATACTGTCCTCTTACCAATTCGTATCTGATTCTCAGTGTAAAATGGACAAGAGTGACTTGGTGCAGAAAGCCAAGCTCGCCGAGCAGGCCGAGCGCTATGATGACATGGCAGCAGCTATGAAGGCTGTTACTGAGGGTGGCGTGGAGCTTTCGAATGAAGAGCGCAACCTGCTCTCCGTGGCATACAAGAACGTGGTAGGCGCCCGCCGCTCCTCCTGGCGTGTCATCTCGAGCATTGAGCAGAAAACTGAGGGCAATGAGAAGAAGCAGCAAATGGCACGCGAGTACCGTGAAAAGATTGAGACTGAACTGCAGGACATCTGCAATGATGTGCTGGTATCTTCATTTCTTTCTCTTGACTTTCTAAACCTTTTATGATGACATCAGATGTAGGGCTGCAACAACAAATTGATTATTACCGATAATGAAAATAATCAACAATGAATTTGATCATCAATTAGTCACGACTGGCAATGTGCTCGGAAACCATCAACCAGTCACGTCGCTTTATAGTAGTGAAAACTGAATGATCCATTTCTTTGGACAAAACACATATGGAAAATAGTTAGCGGCTGTGGGAAAGGTACATGATCCAAGTTTTCCAAAACATGAGAGTGCTTTATTTATAAGCTCTTCAAACAAAAACAAGTGTTTACCGCCTTGTGCTGTCGTGCTTTAACGGTTGCGCCTGCTGTTTAATGCCTGTGACAAGTTTTCCAGCGCATAACTTTTTTATGGTTACATCCTTAATAAGGGTCTTGTTAAAGGGGTCATGAACTGGCTTTTTAAATTTTATTATATTGTTGTCTGAGGTCAATTTATGACATTCGCTTGGTTTTTGCATTCAAAAACATCAAAATGAATAAGTAATAGGCTATTTTGAACCCAAGTTGTGAGCCTACCTGAAAAACGGTCAGTTTTATGGGCGTGTTGCACTGAAGACTTGGAAATAAACGGGTGGGGCTAAACCGGCCCTGTTGAAGTACAGTAGGTGTTGATCTTCTTCTGCGGGGGTGGTGTGTTAACCCCTTCGACGTCATAGTTCTCCACTTTTAAAAACGAGTCGTTTGCAGAGGCTGGTGTCAATAAATGCTTTCATTGGACTAACAAGGACGTTTTCAGTTCTGAGACTTACGGGATATTATTATAATATGATGACCTCTTAGATGTCAAAGGCTCAAGGAAAATTTGATTTCTTAGTTCATCACCCCTTTAAACTTCAGTGTTCAATGACCGAGTGCTGGTGGGTGCATGCGCGTCAAACAGACGGAGCACAGTAGAATAGAGTGCAATAATTCGGACTGAAATTGTCAGAAATAAGAAGGTTTGAAATTCGTCATGTCTATCATTTATGAGAGCAGTAACAGTAAATGCACTATTGTTGGAATAGCACATTAATGTTAAATTGTGTTTAGATGAATGTGTGTGTTCTTCATTCCTTAAGTTATGTTTTTGTGCTTTTGGTTTTGTTATCATTTTTAATTTAGTCGATTTAATTTTTGCTTTAAAATAGTAAGCAGTCAGTTGTTTTTTAGTTTTGAATGTATATAATGTTTGTATTTCTAACACGTTTTTTTTTTTCTTGTAATGAATATTAGGCCTATAGCCTTCATAGATGCATTCACTATATTTGTTTTCATAGGCTTTACACTGTAATTTGGAAGATGGCATTGGCATGATTTGGAATAAAGTTAAAATAATGGATTAAAATGACTAATTTAATACTTTTTAATGTATAATGATTTTTTTCATCCGATTAACTCCCCCAAAAATGGACAGATTAATCGATCATCAAAATAATTATTAGTTGCAGCCCTTATCAAATGATTCTGAATATGTTCATTCTTAAACACATTTTCTTAAATAAAAAATATGTATTGTTCAGTTGTCAAAGAACAGTTAATTTCATTTTAATGTGTGAACAATAAAGTTCAAATTGCATTCATTATGTTTAACCTTCCTTCAGGATGAAAGGAACATTTTCCACATTATAAGCCATCCTGATGCTTCTAACTTGTCTTGACAGGGTCTTTTGGAGAAGTTCTTAATTCCCAATGCTTCTCAAGCAGAGAGCAAGGTGTTTTATCTGAAAATGAAAGGTGATTATTACAGATACTTATCTGAGGTTGCATCTGGAGAAACTAAGACCGGTAAGTCCATTGTAAAATTGGTTTCAATTTTTCTTAAATAAAAATGGTCATTGGTTGATTTGACTGTTCTATCCACCTATCTATCCATCTGTCTGTCTCTCTCTATATATGTCTGTCTCTCTCTCTATAATGATCAATCTGTGATGCGATCTACGGATGTATAAGGCCACATGTCTAATAGATAATTGACATGTGGCCTCATATGGTAATACGATTTATCACGATAATAAACATTCATGTTATTTTTATTGTGGGCACTAGTGCTGTCACAATACTGGTATTTCTAACTTTGATACGATTCCTTGAAAAATATCAATATACGATACCTTGGAAAAAAATATCAATATTCCATACCATATATGAGACGACGGGGAAAACCACCATATATACCGACATACAGATATTTATTTTTTATAATTTGGGTAATTGTGTTGCAATGGCTTACACAGAGCACAGGGCTATAAATAAGCTTTTAACTAAAATAAAAATAAAAAAGTCAATCATAAAATTAGAACAAATAAACAGTATACAAATGGACACATAAATACAATAGAATAATGTAATAAACACGGCTTTACTTTTTTCAGGTGGGGGGAATCCCCCTTTAGTTGACTTGTGGGGGACAGATTGTCTTTTTTTTTTTTTTAAATTTCAAAAACATTATAATGATCTCACCTAAATGTTTGATCATACAATGTATTTTTGTGTTTACATTGTGGCAATTTTTTACACAATAGCTGACACAGCATGACCCTCATTTCAAATGTTGAATTGAAACTTTATTTTCGGTTTTGGTTTTTCAGCTAAATGTGAACTTAACTTTGGTTTTCTGCGCACAAAAAAAACCCACTATGGTGTTACTATTATCTATCTATTAGTCATGTGACATTTTCATGTTATGATGCAAAAGCTGAAATGTAAAAATAAATGATTTGATATTAAATCTTTAAGAATTTGGTGCTGTGATGAACACCATTGCAAATACAACAATCTAAATGAGTGTTAAATCATTTAAATACCGTTCAGAAACAGAATGTAGCACAGCTGCTTTGTTTATGGTGGTTACTGGGGTAAAAAGTGCATTTCTGGTGTTCCATAAGTGCCATTACTGTCAGAGTGAATGTGCATTTTATCGGAATAATTCTTAATGTCCACGATAGTGATCCGTTATTGTGCCCACGATAACAATACAGTGCATGTTCATTTGTGCGCTATATTGTATTACTTTATATCTGGAAATGTCTAATATCTGTCTGACAGTATGCCAATTATATTAAATGAATTATAAAGTATATTTGGTTATCAACACAAAAGTATCTTTTTGTTCCAGCCACTGTTGAGAGCTCTCAGAAGGCTTACCAGGATGCTTTTGAGATAAGCAAGAAGGACATGCAGCCCACACACCCAATACGGTTGGGTCTTGCCCTCAACTTTTCAGTTTTTTACTACGAGATCCTCAACTCTCCTGAGAATGCCTGTCACCTCGCCAAGACAGTTAGTATCTAAATGACTAGCAGCATAAGGGGCTGTTCACACAGGACAAGTTCTTGTTTAAAGCTAGGGTATACGATTTCAAAGATTGTTCATTATGAATATCCTCATTTAGATGCTGGTTATGGTTATATAGTACAATCCTAACAATATGAATAGAAAAAAGAACGAAAAAAATCCATTCACTCTATTGGCTGTACAGCCGCAGAAAAGTTGACCAATGTAAGCTGTGCGGCCGCACAGCTTATATTGGTCAACTGCTCTCATCCAATCACCAGCTCCACTTGAAACTCCGCCTGGCGCTCGCGTCTCCAACCCAACCGCACCCGCCCCCCTCCGTGCGTGAGCAAACAGCTGACAGACTGTCTATGGTAGCTAGCTAGTAGCGTCAGATCAGCAATGGATAAAGCAATGGATAAAAATATAAACGACAACAGCAAGCGGCCCCTGCTTGCCTCTACTGTAAAGTTTGGACGCAAGAGAAAGTCTGTGGAGGAAAGATCAGAGATTAAAAAGAAATGTGAAAAACGCCGGACTCTAAGTAGGATAAATATAGCGTCCTTCATTGACCATTGGAGAAAGCTACAGGGAGATCTGGGGCTGAAAACGACCCTGACACGGATGACTTTTTGTTGAGCAGGTAAACATTTATTTATTCTTTTATGGTGTGACGTGTTACGTGGCTTTTTATCAGTTTGACAGCTTGCTCATGCTGCCGGTCGGCATTGGAATGTTAGCCGTTTAGCATCGCTGATCGCGGTTCAAAGTAATTATATTTCTTGTTCGAGGTTTCTGTTCGAGCCGATCGGAATTTGAACAAGATGCGCTGCGTGCTGCAATAACAATTACTGAAAACCTTAGCAATACTAGTAGTATTATAATGGTGGTGGGGAGTTTAGAACATTTCATGTGTTGCTAATCTTGCGTTGACGTGAACTCAAACGTGACATACGTCAGGGATCAGGTAGCGCAGAGGGGAGGGGGGTGTGTGTGGAGGGGCGGGATGAGTTTTTTTTAAAACTTCCCTACCGTCTCGACCGATTTTTAACATCGTATACCATAGCTTTAACAAAAGCTGAATTGTTTTCAACTTGCCAAATATTGAGACAAGGGACAGTCGCCAAAAACAGCCATGCATGTTTACATTTTTTTTTTTTCATTTTTAATCTCAGATGTCACCACATCCTTTATGAACAGCCTCTAGTCTATACACTTCATCACATAAATGTGCATTGTATTTCTTTTACTACATGAGAAATGAGACATTTGAGCTTCTATTACAGGCTTTTGATGAAGCTATTGCTGAGCTTGACACTTTAAATGAGGACTCCTACAAAGACAGTACATTGATCATGCAGCTTCTAAGGGACAACCTCACTGTGAGTCCTCATTCACATTCTGCACCAGTTATGTCTTTCATTGCTTTTTTAACTCATATATTATATTGATTCTTGTACCTGCAGCTTTGGACGTCAGAAAACCAGGCTGACGAAGCCGGGGATAATGAGAACTAGGGAAGCCGCACTGATCTCCAAACACCCACACATCCATTTTAAATGGCTTCCACCAACCCTTCACCTCATTCCACCCAAAACCACCCACCCCTCTCCATTCAGTTCCCAGCCTCCTCCCCTATACATTCTTATCAGCACCCGCAGGAAGACGCTCAGTGAAGCCCCTTACAGACACAAGTGGCTGGGAGGGGGGTGGGTCACAGGGTGACATGCTGACATTAAAGCAGGTCCAGTCATTTTGTTTGTGAATTTAATGTTTACTGATTATCTAATCCTGTCCATTATGTGTGTCTGTAAGTGACTGCCGCTAACAGGGAGTAACTGAGTGGCTGTGTGAGTGTGTGCATTTGTATGTATGTGTTGGAAAATAAGAGTGAGTGTATTGGGGATCAGGGGTTGTGAAATCTAATCCTTCCTGATAATTCCCTTTGTTCCACATTATCTGGTTGTGCATTTATCATCCTCTTTTCTTTCTTTTTTCTTTTTTTTGTTTTGTTACGATCATATTTTTTTAGTATAATTCATTAGTATTTACAGGTTTTATTGTATGGTTAATAAACTGGCAGTTTATTTACACCAAATACTAATTCTGACTTCTCTGAATCTGTTATGATTAAGCTGTATTATAAATGTCATATTCATAAGTACTGGCAATGTCATTTATAACATTGATAAGAGGACATAACGAATTTCAAACTACTTAAATGGTAGTAACTTGAATGAATAATGTTAGCTCCCGATCCCAAAAAAGCCCTCGCCTGATCCTTCAATCTATTCAAACTTTAGACCAATTTCCAACTTGCCGTTCATATCAAAAAGTCTAGAAAAAACTGTATTTATGCAGCTTCAAGATTATTTGAATGGAAATGGTACATCAGATATTTTTCAGTCTGGTTTTAAAACTTTACATAGTACAGAGACTGCCCTTCTGAAAGTTTATAATGATATTTTAATGTCCACTGACGCTGGTAACATCTTAGCTTTAATAATGCTAGATCTTAGTTCTGCGTTTGACTTTGTTGATCATGGTGTCCTCCTGTCTCGTCTGGAGCAATGCATTGGTTTAAGAGGCACTGTACTTGACTGGTTCCGGTCATTCTTGTCCAACAGAAAATTCTCCGTAAATATAGGGAATCACTCTTCCACCATAGCACAGGTTCTGTTTCATTCTTACTGACCGCCAGAGGCAGTGTAAACACTGGATTATCGCAGCGCCAGCTAAGATAGATCGAGAGAATATACCAACAAAGTCACGTGGCGTGACGCATGCTATGCCCCGGAGGTAACGCTACAGTAAGCTCAGCACTCTACCTCTTTCGCTTTCTCACCTGTTTGAGATAGGTCGTATTGATTGAGTGATTCGCGCTGTCAAGTGCAGCTTACTAGAGCAGCGAGATTCGTCCTCACAAGCTGTGACAGCGCGTGTCTTCGTCATTCTAGGATTGAATACTGGTGAGTTTTATATTACTTCGTCGGTGACACACTCTGTGCCTCTCGGTGCTATCCGGTGGCTTGTGTTTTCCCGCGCCTATGAGTTAACGATCTCCCGTGACTCTATTAGAGTGTTTTTTTCTCTCACTTTGTCCCTCGGTTCAATCCGCCGGCCATTTAGACTTTTTATCTCTTGATATTGTTGGTATTACCTGTTGGTTCTCCAGGGGTAATCGTTTTATTTTATTTTTATCATTTTTCATCCCGCTTAACTTAACCTTACGGTGTTATTAGCGAGTAGCTAACTATGGCTCACGGCTCGATCGCCACTGGTTTTCCACTGACTTGTAAGCTGTGCCCTAATAATCTTCTTCCTGACGACGGTCATGACATCTGCCCGTCGTGTTTGGGGATTCAACATCTGCGAGAGGCTCTCACGGACCCATGCGTGCACTGCAGTCTTTTGCCTATGTCGGAACGACGGCTCCGTCTTGCCGAATTAGACCCTAATTCAACGGTGAAACTTGGACAGTTGGATGTAGCCTCCACGCGCACTCGAAAGCGCAGGGCGTCGGCGGCGGCTGGTGCTCCTCTTCCAGCTAAAAAGAAGGCCAAATCGCGAAGTGATGAACATGCTGAGAAAGGTTCTCTTTCTGTGACGGTGTCGATGCTTTCTTCAGAAATGGCAGAGTTGAAACGCCTGCTACACTCGCTTCAGCCTGCCACATCTACTACACCTGTGAGCATGACACAGGAGGATGAGAATGTTCAGAATTTAGGAGCTGGTGGAGAGTCTCTTGATTCCCCTTGTTTTTCTCACCGTTCAGAGTTTGATGTGCTTTCTACGAGTGCTTCAGATTCCTTTTTTCATGATCTTGGGGATACTATGGATGTTGCTGCGCAACCATCACCTCAGGCTGTTTTCACTGGTTACACAGCTACGGAGGGTTCTAGTGGGGGATCAGTTCAATCGTCTGGAAAAGCCCAGTCCTCCTCCGATGATACTTTGGCTGTGCTTCGAATGGCAGCTGCTCGTCTAGGACTTGACGAGTCACCTGTCCAATCTACCCAAACAAATGTGTTTTTCAGACAGACCTCAGCTGCAACTTCTTTTGCCATGCCGCCATGTAAAGATTTTGTGGCTGAATTCTCGAATGCTCTCACTGGCTCTGGCCCGCCGAAGCGGCGCTCTAAGATTGCTCGAACTTTAGCATCTATGGCTGAAGCTGATTCTATCGGGGTGGGTCTTGCTCCGGAAATAGAGCAGCCTGTGGCAGCGTTGGTGGTGTCTCCTGATGAGGCTCTAAGAGGGAATGTGCGATGTCCCAGTGCACAATGTGGCCGTACGGATTCCTTGCTCAAAAAGGCATATGAATCTGTTGCCTACATTACTCGAGCAGAAAACACTATCTGCCAGTTACTTCTTGCTGCCACCAGTACGCTGGAACCTGCTAATGTGGATCCATCTATTTCACAATTCCTGCAAACTGCTCTGTTGGCAACAGGCCATGTGACCCGCGAGCTGGGTAGTCTTACAGCAACGCTTCTGGCAGCCCGCCGCCAAGTGTGGCTTGCCCAAGCACGACTGCCGGAGGACTGTAAGAAAACCTTGAGAGATCTTCCATTTGTTCCCGGTCATCTCTTTGGTCCGAATGTTCCGGAACTATTGGAAAAGAGGGTAAAGCTGTCTGAAGCCACTCGTCAACTGACACAGGTGCAGCGCAACCCTACCTTTAGGATGCCAGCAGCTCAGACCCGACATCACTATGCCACATCAGAGCAACGTTTCCGTCGGCACGCTATACCTCAGACACAGCCCCCACAAAGACCTCGTGTTCCTGAAGCTGCGAGAGTTTTCCGCCCACCTCATCGTCAGTTCCCGGGAGGACCCCGTCAGCGCCCCCCCGCGACCACAAAAAATCGTACTCCTAAAGCCTGAGACAGTCAGGCCGGCGGTCGATCGTTTTTCTGTAGATCAACTGGAGTACTGGAGATCCAACACAACAGACCCCTGGGTGTTGGCAACTCTGAGCAGAGGATATACTCTACAATTTCGAGGCCGGCCTCCCAGATTTTCAAGAATTGTTCCTACGATTGTCAGAGACGTGGTTCGCGCGGAGGCTCTCTCTCTAGAAATTTGTTCTCTGCTAGAGAAGGGAGCCATAGAGAAAGTTCATCCCCTCGTTCAGGGAGACGGGTTCTATTCAACTTATTTTCTTGTTCCAAAGAAGGACGGTGGCTTCCGCCCGATTCTCGATTTGAGGCTTCTGAATTTGTACCTGAAGGTCCTTCCCTTTCGAATGCTGCGCACAGCCGATTTTCTCCGGTCTGTGACGGCAGACGATTGGTTTGTAAGTGTCGACCTGAAGGATGCATACTTTCACATCCCAATTGCTGTGCATCACAGAAAATTTCTGCGTTTCAGTTTCAAAAATCAAGCTTATCAGTTCAAGGTGCTACCCTTCGGCCTTTTTCCTTGCTCCTCGCGTCTTCACAAGGTGTGTGAGTGCAGCTCTGTCCCCTCTTTGGATGAGAGGACTACATATCCTCCCTTACTTGGACGACTGGCTTCTCTGTGCCCCCACAGAGCAGCAGGCTGTGCAAGATTCCAGAGTTCTTCTGAGACATGTGCAGAAGCTGGGTTTTTCTGTGAACGAGAAAAAGAGCCGTCTGATTCCATCACAAACCACTACATTCATAGGAATGACCCTGAATTCCTGTCTAATGTCTGCCTCCCTGTCTCAGGAACGTGTGATGAACATTCTGCAACTTTTGGCTCGCTTTCGCCCGGGTGTGTCCCTGCAGTACGAGGTGATCCTACGACTGTTAGGGATGTTAACAGCGGCTACAGTGGTGATCCCACTGGGTTTACTCCACCTCAGACCACTCCAGTTATGGAACAACAGTTTACGGCTAGATCCCACCAGACATCGACATCGACTGGTGATGATTTCTCACCGTTGCATATGTGCGTTGAGGCGTTGGAGACAGTTAGAGTTCCTAAGGGCAGGAGTGCCCCTGGGGGTTGTTCCCTCTCGTCGGGAGTTGGTCACAACAGACGCTTCCCTCACAGGATGGGGGGAACCTGGAATCGGAGGGGTATTTGCGGGCGCTGGACTCCAATCCAGGCCACGGAACATATCAACCTGTTGGAACTAAGGGCGGTGTTCCTGGCTCTGAGGTACTTCATGCCGGTTCTGACAGGCCGCCATGTTCTTGTTCGATCGGACAATACCTCTACAGTGTTCCACCTGAACCACCAGGGCGGCACGAGATCCCTTAAGTCTCTACTACTGACTCACGAGATTCTGACATGGTGTCAGCCTCGGCTCGCTTCACTGAGGGCAGCTCATATTCCAGGAGCATGCAATCAGATAGCAGATGCTCTTTCCAGGGATCAAATACATCCAGGAGAATGGAGACTTCATCCAGAGGTAGTGCAGGAGGTCTGGCTACGATTTGGAAGAGCAGAAGTGGATCTTTTTGCTTCAGAGATGACCACCCACTGTCGCTTATGGTTCGTAAGGACAGAAGTGTCCAGCCCCCTGGGCCAGGATGCGCTGTCTCACAAATGGCCAAACTGCATGCTCTATGCGTTTCCACCTATCCCTCTGTAATGGGAGACATTGCACAGGATCTCCCTGTACAAGCACAGAGTGTTACTCGTGGCACCACGATGCCCAGCCAGACCATGGTTTCCTTTATTGCTGAGACTTCTGAAAGGCAATCCATGGAAGCTCCCACCCAGGAAGGACCTCCTCTCTCAGCTGGAGGGCAGTGTCTGGCACCCGGACCCAACTCATCTGCATCTTTGGGTCTGGCCATTGGGTTAGCTTCTTCCCTGTAGCATTGTGACCCTGCTGTTATTCACAACATCTCTAATGCTAGGGCTTCTTCCACCCGACAGATTTATGCTTCACATTGGAAGCTTTTTGGGTTCGTTCCTGCAACATGCGATATTCCAAGTATCTTAAGTTTTCTTCAATATTTACTGGAGCAAGGAAAAGCAGCTTCCACGTTGAAAGTGTACGTTGCTGCAATTTCTGCATATCTTCAATATTTACTGGAGCAAGGAAAAGCAGCTTCCACATTGAAAGTGTACGTTGCTGCAATTTCTGCATATCATGTTCCAGTTGGTGGCTCTTCTCTTGGCTCT